GCGGAGGGTCACGATAACGTTATTAACCCGTAATCGAGCTCCGGCCAAACAATGAGAGGCGGTTGAGCTCTCCGAGGAAGTCGACGGAGTTGCCCCCGCCGCGACGTGCCCTCCGGCCTCTACCGAGGCCTCCTTCGGAGCCGCCAAACTTCGTCACCCCGGCGACAAGGAGTTCCGGCCTTCTTGCGATGTTACGTAAACTACTCGCGACTGATCGGAGCAAGAGGGGACGATGGAGAGGGCGCGCGGGTCTTTTGAACGACTTAATGGGTTTTTTCAATATTTACGCGGCCATCGCCCCGCGTGGATCGCGAGGAGGAAACGAGGTCCCTTCGAAGATTCGGAGGAAATTGAACACGCCCGACTTCATCGTCCTTGATACCTTGTCCTTGCTGCGTGTTTGGCGGAAGTTTGGCAAGTTTATTGCGGAAACTCGCGGGGGTCGTAAGGCAGATTTCCGTATTATATAACTGTGCAATCTCTACTCGTCATTAATCTAATTATTTATCCTTTTCCCGTCGTCGTACGGCGAAATACGCAGGCTGTGTCTTTTGTGTCTGCAGAAGTTGACTTTTTTTCAATTCAGTGCCCGAAGACACACACGACCTGGCGTTCTGCGTCAACCTTTTCAGTTTTCCCGTATGCTGCCTGGTTCTTTCGCTATTTCAGGGCTTTAAAAGCAGACGGTACTCACAAAATGGGAGCGGAAAGTCCTGGTAAATATGTGTCGAAAAATTAATATTGTCGAAGTTGGGAACAATTATTCATTTTAATTAAAATAAGTGACTGCTTCTGGCGCTTTTGTATCCTCTGATGTAGTTTGTCATTTATCGGTGAAGAGAGAAAATACCATGTTTTAACGGAATCCTTGCGAAAAGTCTCTTCGCTCTCGTTCGGAATGTAAACAAACATCCATTTTCTTCCCATTTATATGCACGCGTCACCAAGCGATTGTTAGTCACACATGTTCGCGAGCAGTGAACGGATCCAGAGAGCAAAGTTTTCACAGTGCGGTAAGAATGACATCGCATTACTCTAATCGAGAAATGGCAGAAATGCATTTCCGTGCATGGCCGTGCGGCAGAAGCGAGTAAGTCACTTGTTTTGATCATAACAAATCATTGTTCGCAACTCTAACAATATTAATTTTCCGAACCATGTTTACCAGGACCTTTTTCCTCCATTTTGTGAGTACTATCTGCCCTTAACGTCCTGAGTCCTTTTTCAACACCCAGTATATCTAATTGTGCATACAAGTGAAGAGGACAACTTGAGCGAGATCTGCAATAGAAGTCATAAAGCCCTGAATCGTAAAGTCGTAAGAAAATTAACCAATCGCGTTCGATTATTCTCCTTACGGTCGAAGAATAATCAATTGTGATTGGTTCTTTTTTACGACTTTACAACTTTTATTGCAGATCCTACTGCTAATGAAATGGGACTTCCTAGTTATTTAGTACTTATTTTGTGCTAATTTGTGCCATTAATAAAAATTTTGTTCCACGTGTCGTTTTGAAAAAATCGTGGCGCTGTTAGCTTAATATTAAGTTAACAGTATCACATGCAAAAAAAAGAAAAAAACGGAAGAAAAGGTATAAATACAACGGCCAGAATTTGTGCTTATTCGTGCCGTCCAAAACAAGCAGATATATAGATCCATTCCGCTTGAAACAACGATGAATTTACCATGTTTAGGCTCAAGAGTAAAGTATTCGTTTCCACGAACAGAATCAATCGGTATTGCGACACTCGAGGCATAATAATTTGTGCCTCTCAAATATTCACTCACAGATTTTGTACCCCATCCCTTCTCTGAAAATCCACCCCCGAAACCTATTCGGTACAAGAGTAAAGTACTCGTTTCTACGAGCGGAATCAATCGGTACTGCGACACTCGAAGCATAATAATTTGTGCCTCTCAAATATTCACTCACAGATTTTGTACCCCATCCCTTCTCTGAAAAACCACCCCCGAAACCTATTCGGTACAAGAGTAAAGTACTCGTTTCTACGAGCGGAATCAATCGGTACTGCGACACTCGAAGCATAATAATTTGTGCCTCTCAAATATTCATTCACAGATTTTGTACCCCATCCCTTCTCTGAAAAACCACCCCCGAAACCTATTCGGTACAAGAGTAAAGTACTCGTTTTTACGAGCGGAATCAATCGGTACTGCGACACTCGAAGCATAATAATTTGTACCTCTCAAATATTCACTCACAGATTTTGTACCCCATCCCTTCTCTGAAAAACCACCCCCGAAACCTATTCGGTACAAGAGTAAAGTACTCGTTTCTACGAGCGGAATCAATCGGTACTGCGACACTCGAAGCATAATAATTTGTACCTCTCAAATATTCACTCACAGATTTTGTACCCCATCCTTTCTCTGAAAAACCACCCCCGAAACCTATTCGGTACAAGAGTAAAGTACTCGTTTCTACGAGCGGAATCAATCGGTACTGCGACACTCGAAGCATAATAATTTGTACCTCTCAAATATTCACTCAAAGATTTTGTACTCCTGCCCTTCTCTGGGAAACCACCTCCGAGACCTATTCGGCTTAAGAGTAAAGTATCTGTTTCCACAAGCAGAATTCGTCGGTATTCGCAACCTTGAAACTTATTCGACTTAAGATAGCGTGCAAGTGTACAAAGGATGTATGTGTTGTGCAACAAGGCAATATTTGTACATACAGCTTGTATGTCGTGGCGTTATTTTTATGATGGAATTTCAATGTGGTAATGCATCTGTAGGGACTTATAAATTAATTGTGTGTTTTGTATTTCACGCTGACAAGAGTGATGAATGGAAGGATAATCGTAAACGTAACGCTATGTTAACTGCAACACAAATATTTTTATATAGCATAGAACATAGGAAAATAAAATAGGTGACATCGTTTGACAGACCATACAATTTTGTAACATAAACTTATAAGTATGTGAAAGGTATAAAATATATGTAAATATATGTGTAGCGACTTTGGTAGGTGCCGAAATGCCGTACGCGCTAAAAATTGATCTCGCGATAAAGCGGCGGTTTACGCGACTTCTCACGTAGCGTGTGGCCCGTGATGTGCCGCAAGTCGCAGCTTTGATGGATGCCGAAAAACCGTATTCAACGCACTATTTGAAGATCTGCTTCAGACTGAAGAGCTATCGCTCCTAAACAATAGTACATCACCGTTTTTGCCATACTTACTGCCATATACTGATGCCAAAGAGGGTTATGGCCAATCTCGTGTATATATTATGTGCACAGAAAATACCCGAGATATAAAGGGAATTATGCTAGTTTTCGTGAGTGGATATATAGTTTTCTGAATGAATATAATTGTGTAGTCACGCTCCGTCACGGCCCTTCCAACAGGCTTGAACTCCTCTTAAAGCGAAAGGTGGCGCGCTCGTAGCGGTCTCGCCGTTGCGAGCGTCGGAATCTTCATTGTATTCCTGTTGCTGCGCTTTCCAACAGCTTCGTGAGCATTTTCTACATATCAGCAAAATTTTCAGCTAATATACCGATATGGGTAAGTGTTCGCATAAGTCGAAGAAAAGAGGAGGGGCACCTTCCAGAGATCGCCTCGCGGGCATTGAAAATAAGCTGGCACGCTTAATCAACACACTGACGCAGAGAGAAGTTAGGGTATTTCTCCCCTCCGCAGCTTCGTCGTCAGCCGTATCCCCGAGTCGACAGGAGACTCAGGACATACAAAGGGAGACCGTGCAGGACATAGAGGTAACGCCCAGGTAACGATACTAGCCAGGTAGACATAAACCTGACCAACTCTCCCAGGGCAACGCCTGCGAGTCAGAAGGGGCCGTCAACCGATCATAACCTAGGTGTGTACGAGCTTTCTGGATCTATATTTGCAGAACATGGGCGGAAAAGTCGACACAGCCTTCCAAGGAATAACTCTCGATGTTTTCCAGGTTTATCAAACAAGGGTCACGTGAACTTCGAATCACGGCTCGTCACGGATGACACACCGACGGATACTTTTCTATCTGCGGGCATCCCGACAGACGAGGACTCTCTCACGAAGGAGTTATTCGCTTCAGACCGCGAAAAAACGGAAGTACAACCGTGGAACGAGCTAGTGATAGAACAATCGGTCCCACAGATGGGCGTGTCCGCGAAATAGATCTCGTCGCGGAGTTAATAACTCGTTCGGCTGCTGGTTACGAACACACAAATATATTCTATATGATACAACGTCGTGAGCTTGACGGCTAATCCCGTCAGACCGAATTCGATCACAAAAATATGCCCGATTTTATACAGTTCGAGGCGTCGGCGGACTCTCCGCCCGCCGGATTCCGCTAATAATTTTTGATCGCAAAATGGGTTGGATCTCGACCGCACCAACCGTTCGGACAGCAACCCAAAAGTTTCCGACGGACCGCGTGCACTACCAGCTCGCGCACACGCCACTCACATGCGTGTCGCGCGTGACCGGCTCGTGCTTGTAGCGTGCGTCGGGGCACGTCCTTTTACGCGACGTGCGACTAAGTACGCCGACTCTATTGGACGTTCGCCGCCGAGCCCGGGCCACGGGTCTCCCTCGCCAAAAATTCGCACAGTAGGGACCGAGAAGCGGCCCTCCGCAACAGCACTAATTAGGGAAACCCGGCCACGGCTGGCTGCCTAATGGCGGCGCGACTTCCTACTTCGCGAGGTGCGTAGAGAACATGGAGAGCTTACGCTGCAGCTTCCTCCTCCTTGCCCGGCTCCATGTCCGGTGGGTCGCCTTAACCGTCCGCTCTGTCTTACGCTCGATCGCTCGTTCGCTCGTACGCTCGCTCGCTTGCTCGCTCGGGGATCGAGATCCAAATAGGCCGAATCCTTCCGGCTTGCGCATGGATATCACCTCGGACATCCTGCCGAGACTCGCGGGATCTCCCAGGGAGCCTTGCGCGGTCCCGCCGCCATGCCCCGCCGCTCCGCGGAATCTTCTCCACTCTTTCAGCTGCTGGCTGCGGATCTTCGCTGATTAGCTTCGCGATCACCGACGAAGGCAGATTCCTGGTGGCTTCCGCCCAAAATCTCCAAAAGCTCCGGGCCCCACGGCCCCTCCGTCAACTCGCTCTAGCACGCCAAAACCTCTGGGTAAAATCCCGGCATATGCTAATATCAGCTCGTAACCCGCAGCTGCCCCGCTTGCACGGGCGTTCCGACGCCAAATCGACGGGTTTGCACAATTTTAGACACTCTGTAACGGGCGCCCCAGGCTGCCACGTTACACTCCTCCTCCCCGAAAAGGACCGAGTCCCTCGGTCTTATCGTCCGCTGTAAGTCTCCCCGGTCTACGTACCAGATCTCTACGGTGGTCGTCTGTCCGAACGATTGACCGAGCCTCACTCGACCTTTTTATCCTAACCAACGGCTAGCTCGCTAATCCGGAAAGACAGGGTTTTCCCTCCACCAACACCAATGACCTTTGACCAAACAACCACAAACCCAAAAAGAGAACACAAATGGCGGATATCCCCCCCCAAGACTTATTACTAACTAATTTCTCACGTAAGCTTAATCTACGCGCGTAGGGTGCCCAGCCTCGCTTGGTACCTTCGGCGGCTGTCTCGAGAGCCGGTTCCTCTTCAGGCGTTCCCGGATCCGTCGCGCCGCTCGCCGTCCTTATGCCGCAACCGCTCCGGTCCAGGGGGAGACCCGTCGGCCGCTCTATCGAAGGATGGATCGACTCTCAGATGTGGGCTCATACCGCGGAGGCACCCTACGCTCGCAATCGTTAAGCGACATCCCCCCTTGCTCCGCGCGACGGCGCTAATGCTAGGGATTTCGGGAAATAAGACACCAAGATTTCACTTTGTACGCCCTCCTCCGTTCTTATTTCGTCGGCGATACATAGGTCACAATAAAAATACAATAATTGCGTCCGTTCCCACGGAAAACCAAAATTAAAACAAAAATTATTCAGAGGAAGGAAAAAAACCAAAAACGGGGAAAAGAAAAAAAAAGAACACGCTCCGGTGGCAGGAAAAAGCAAAAAAGAAATTATTGGATGGCCGGCCGCGCCTCGCCTATTTTAAGTCACGGTCCCTACGGGCTATCAGCTGCCAGATCTGGCTGCACCCGGGGCACGTTTTCATCGTGTACCCCGGGCGCTGGCAGCGGTAACAACGCGTCTCCGTGTGCTGGGGGCTCGGGCACTGGGCAATGGTGTGCCCGACTCCTTCGCACCTCCAACATTTCTTCGGGGCCCAGGTCGCCACCCAGCGCGGGGTCCTGGGCCGAGCCGCCTCTAAAGCGCGCACCCTCGCTCGCGCACGGTCTTCGGCCGCGGCGATATCCTCCGCCTCCACCGCGGCCCAGGCGTCTTCGTCCAAGCGCCGCTTGCCGACTGCCCAGTCGGGCTCGGGCTCCTTCACACTGCGGGCCATTTCCTTGGCCTCCCGCCTGGTCTCGGTGGTCGCGCCGGTCCTCCGCTGGCGGGCTACTAGCTCGGCGAGCACCCACGTTCGCTGCTGTTTGCTGGGGGTCGGTCGGGGTCGAGTCCCTATCTCGTGCTCCGCCGGGAGTCTGTAAGGGGGACACGTATCGTTTAAGACCCTTGGTATGGACCTTCCCTATCGACCTACCTCAGTCGTCGGCTAATTCATACACGGCACCCGATAATCGCGCGACCACTACAAACGAGCCCTAGTATTTCGGCGCCAATTTGGCCGCAATATAGTTGGCCGCCGACGGCAGCACATGCTGCCGCTTCCACACGAAGTCACCAACACCAAAGGTCGCCGGTCGCTTACACAAGTTGTATCGGCCGGCTTGTTGTTCGTAGGCCTGCGCTAAATTTTCTCGCACTCAATCTATGAGCGACGCTAATTACTTTCTCCGCTCGCACCAATTTACGAGGTCTCCGAGATCGAGATCCTTTCGGCCCTCCCGGCGGCGCCGTAACGACACGGTCGGCTCGAGTTCGCGTCCCAAATTAAGAAAGGCCGGCGACATTCCCAACGACGAATGATGTGCCGAGTTATATGCGAAGCGAAAATTTTTGAGTCGTCCATCCCACTCACGGTGATCTTGCTTAATGAACGCGACGATCATAGTTTTGAGAACGCGGTTCACCCGTTCCACGGGGTTCGCCTGAGGATGGTAGGGCGGGGTGGTCGTGTGCTCTATACCGTGTTCTTTCGCAAATGCCGCTATTGGCTTGTTAACGAACTCCGCCCCATTGTCCGTTAGCAAGTACCGCGGTGTTCCCTAGCGCGAAACTACTAATTCGTCAAGAGCTTCGCTGATAAGCCTCCCCGTGGCCGCACGGAGAACTCGGCATTCCACCCACTTTGTAAAAAGATCCTGCACTACTAGCAGGTACAAGAAGCCGGTCCAACTCTGGGGAAATGGTCCCATGATATCCTCTCGCGAGTCCCTGTCCGCGACCCTAACTACCTCTCTCTCTCCTTGTTCCATTCCCCAATGACGCTCCCGTCCCCACAGGTCCGGAACGTCGGTAGCGACTAACGCTGCCGCCGTCTTCGCCCTCCGAGGTGGCGGACGATACGCTAAATCCGGGCAGACTGATCGCTCCGGCAGTGACGGGGCTCGGTATCTGCTGGCCGTCGCGTAACTCAGCTCGATTCGGGTAGCTAACGTCTCTAATCCGTCAAAATCCGCGAACTCAACCCTATGCATGACGATCTGTAGCCGGGGTAGCAAGTTGCGGTGCGCATAATTTAGCTGTTCTCGCAACGACCAAGGCGGGTCGAGCCTATGAAAGAGGGCCATCAGGCAGGCCAGGTAGTCGGCCACCGGCTCACTCTCTCCTTGCGTGCGTCGCATAATTTCGTCTCGCAACTCAAATTGGAAATCCGCTACCCCGAACTGCGTGCGAAAGTCCACCTCAAACGCTCGCCACGTGGGTCATTGCGGCTGCTTAGCCCGGAACCAGATGAGGGTGATCCCGTTCAAAAAATACGGTAGGAATTTTAAAACGTCGTCGTCCGTCATGGTTACGACCTCTCTTGCCTCGCGAATCCTTTCTAAGAATGCGTTTGCGTCCGCCCCACGGATTCCCGAGAAGCTAATATTTCACCTCCTCAGCGCATTCAGCGCGTCCACGGTCGAATACGCGCTGCGCCCCCTGCCCAATGGACGGCCGACGCGCCTCTCCGCGCCACATGTCGCCCCCGTTTCCGATTGGCCGAGTCTCGCGTTCCCGTAAATACTCTCGGACCACTCTTTTGCGTCTCTTCCGCTCGGTCTCCTCCGAGGGTTCGGGGAAGGATGCCGCTCCTAACGCGCGGATTTTTTCGTCGGTCGGCAAGTCCAACACCTGCCCGAGTGGCGGATCTAACGCTTCGGCCGCAGCGAGCTCGTGCCGGTGCAATCGATCCCTCAATACGGGCAAAATCCCCAGTGTAGATAGCCCGCGCTTCTCGCACTCTACCCTTAATTGCTCGACGGTGAGGGCGTCGATCCAACCCCTCGCCGCCGATTCGGGGGTTTGGGCCCCCCTCGACTTAGCCCCGAGCATTTTGCCCCTTCTTCTCCCTGTCCACGAACCAATTACTAATACCGGGAGGGAAGGAAAAACGAAACCCCAAAAGAAAACAAACGTCTCAACCTCAAGGGCTCGAACAAATCAAACACAAAAAAATCGACTTTCCTTCCGAAACGCCAACTAAATGTCCGACAAAAAAAAGAACGACAAGAACCTCAAAGAAGGAAGAAATAACAACCCAAAAAAAAAATTAATTCTTGACGTGACAGGAGAAGAGGAGAGTGAGCACTGTGCGTAATCTCTCCCCCGCCTAACACTGCCGATTTTTCTGCGGTCACTTTCGCCTCCTACTCTAATCCGTGCTAAATCCTGGTCGGCCCGAATCGAACATCCAAATTACCCTCCAAGAGGTCTTCCCCTCCCTAATGACCGATACGGCCCGCCGCCCGCTCAGGCACGCGCGACGGTACCCCACGAAAAGGGAAAGACGGAAAGATAACGAACAATCCAAACAAATAAATTTTCCTGTCCCCCCTGTTGTCGCTCGAACGCGGAATGCGGCGTTACGGTCCTGACGGCTTCCTCTCGCCGACCCTTCTCTCTACCGCGCCGCGAAACTCGAACGTCTGCGCGAAGCTTTCCGATCTTTTCGTCGGTCGTTGTCGCGCGAACCCCCTCCGCGTCATCACTTCACTCACGCACACACGCCGCCGCACGCATTTATCCTCGTGGATCACGCGTCTGACACGCGCAACCGCCGAATTTCACTAGCGAGCCTTTGGTTGTTGATGACTGCGTGTTGTTGCCCCGGGGGGACGACACAGGACGGACACACTTTCATGCGGACACACACAAACAGACGAGACAAAGAAAGCTTAAATTCGTTCGTCTCAACCAGCCGACGAGCTATACATTTTTCCGCTCATACAACGACTTTTACCAACGACAATTCCCATCCCGAATCCCGCGATAATCTATTACTTGCGCGGCTCCATGTTGGGCGCCCAAATTTCTTGCGACGTTTTTCACCGAAGTATCGCCAATGATCCGCGCAAGATTTCCACGTCGCAGAAATTCCGCCGGTAGCGAAAGCCGCGGGTCCGATCCGACGAAATCCCACCAAATCGGAAAATCTTGCTAATTGTTGGGCGCCAGGTACGGAGACGGTCGTACCGATTCTCGTGATTGTCGCCAATTATCCGCCGTCGGATCGCAACTCTCGATTATCGCCCCGTGCAGGACCGACTAGCTCGGAGTGATCTAAGTTGGAGATGGGCGTGTCCGCGAAATAGATCTCGTCGCGGAATTAATAACTCGTTCGGCTGCTGGTTACGAACACACAAATATATTCTATATGATACAACGTCGTGAGCTTGACGGCTAATCCCGTCAGACCGAATTCGATCACAAAAATATGCCCGATTTTATACAGTTCGAGGCGTCGGCGGACTCTCCGCCCGCCGGATTCCGCTAATAATTCTTGATCGCAAAATGGGTTGGATCTCGACCGCACCAACCGTTCGGACAGCAACCCAAAAGTTTCCGACGGACCGCGTGCACTACCAGCTCGCGCACACGCCACTCACATGCGTGTCGCGCGTGACCGGCTCGTGCTTGTAGCGTGCGTCGGGGCACGTCCTTTTACGCGACGTGCGACTTAGTACGCCAACTCTATTGGACGTTCGCCGCCGAGCCCGGGCCACGGGTCTCCCTCGCCAAGAATTCGCACAGTAGGGACCGGGAAGCGGCCCTCCGCAGCAGCACTAATTAGGGAAACCCGGCCACGGCTGGCTGCCTAATGGCGGCGCGACTTCCTACTTCGCGAGGTGCGTAGAGAACATGGAGAGCTTACGCTGCCGCTTCCTCCTCCTTGCCCGGCTCCATGTCCGGTGGGTCGCCTTAACCGTCCGCTCTGTCTTACGCTCGATCGCTCGTTCGCTCGTACGCTCGCTCGCTTGTTTCGCCGTTCGCTCGCTTGCTCGCTCGGGGATCGAGATCCCAATAGGCCGAACCCTTCCGGCTTCCGCATGGATATCACTTCGGAGCCCCCTCCACTCGCGGGACCTCCCAAGGAGCCTTGCGCGGTCCTGCCGCCGTGCCCCGCCACACAGTGGGGCAAATGGGTCTTTTTATGGACGAAAATCGCTAGACGGCGTAATTCTTCACCGATTTCCATGCATTTTTTTTTAATTTACTCGCGATGAATTGCTCTGCAATCGTATCGAGCCCGTTTTCTAAATTAGGCCCTCAATTCAAAATGGCGGACGCGCAAATTTGTCAAATGTATAAAACCTGTAAAATGTCGAATATTTTTGGACCGGACAAAGTTTATACGGGCTTTTAAGACCTCCGAGATACATATGTAAGATCGAAATTCTCAGTTTTCGCCAGTGGAGAGGATCTGCAGTGGCCCGATATATTTTATACCTGTCTGATATCCACACATTATCATTAGTAGAATACATTGATAATGTAGGGATATCAGGCAGGTATAAAGAAGGCAGAAGAAACAGACTTTTAAAGAACAATTCCGGCAATGTTAATTTTCCGACCCGTGTTCATTAGAACCTTTTTCCTTCATTTTGTGAATGCTTTTTCTGCCCTTAAAATCCTGAAGTCTTTTTGAACATCCTGTATAACAGGAAAAAAAACAGAGGTTATTAATTACTGATTTTAAGTTCAAAAATTTCCAGTTCTCTCTTTTAGTTTTCAGTCTCCAATCTCTAGTTAAAAATTTTTAGTTTTTGAAATTTTCAGCTCTCAATTTTCGCAAGTTTCAGTGTCTTCAGTTTCCAGGGATAAGTTTTTAAACTTTGACTAGTTTTTAAAGCTTGTAGAGTTGCTAATTTTCAAAGTTTTCAGAGCTTTCAGTTTTCAGATCTTAGTTTACCATTTTTGGTTTTCAGTTTTCAAGGCTTTTGGAATTTTCCGTTTTAAAGTTTCACTTTTCAATGTTTAATTCTTAGGGTTATACATTAACCCTTTGAGGCATAGTGGTAAGTATACTTACCACCTATTTATTTTCACATTTTCATAAAATATTTCATATTTGAGGGATTTTTGTCGGGTTTCTTGCGTTTTTTAACTTCTTATATGATATGGGAACATACATGAAAGGTTGAAAAGTGTTTTGCATAAGTTGTCCATTTATTATAAATAAATAGTGTGAAAAATACACATTTTTACAGCAAAAATCATTTTCCACGAACTATGAGTGAATTTTTGGCACAGAATCAAGATTTGGAGTTTTTTGGGTCGTTGATTACGAATCTGAGGTCCTAATTCCAAAATTAATTTTTCAAGATGACAGATTCAAGATGGCGGATCATAGAATGTACATAAAATTAGCTAAAATGGTACTCTGGTTAGCTTTCAAGGTCGCTGATTACGAATCCGAGGTCTAAAACTTATTGTTCAAAATTGCAGATTCAAATTGGCGGATCATGGAATTCTAATATATTTACCTGACATTGTCTTCCGGTTAGTTAATTGTTCATATTTATGGCCGCCATCTTGAATCCGCCATCTTGAATTTTGAAAATCTGATAACGGATTCATAATCAGCGACTCCAGAAACCCCATAATTGTCACCGAAACTATCACAGTTTTTCACGTTTGTGTCCGCCATCTTGGATCCGCCATTTTGAATTTCGAAAATCTGATAACGGATTCGTCATCAGCGACTCCAAAAACCCCACAACACCCATTGTCACCGAAATTATCCCGATTTTTCATTTTAGCGTCCGCCATCTTGAATCCGCCATCTTGAATTTCGAAAATCTAATAACGGATTCGTCATCAGCGAGCCCAGAATCCCCCGTATATAAATTTTTCATGTGATTCTGATTTTCTGAAAAATACATGCCTCAAAGGGTCAAGCTTAATAACATCGATGCAGCTGTTGGCCGAGCATCCGAGTACCGCTAAAGCCTGCGATAATTCACAGCGCGTCGAACCCGTAAGGAACAAAAGTGAATACAAGCTCGCTCGATGAAGAAAGAGCAATGACAACAACAACAACAACAACAACGATGTAGCGCATGTTAATCGGATCTCGCGACAAGAGACGCCTTTAAAATTGCGGTTAATTAGCGCGGAAGCTTCACGCGACGCGTTGCGAGTCGAGCGACGTGGTGCACGAGCTCTTGGTGCAGCGGCGACATTCCGCGCGAGCGAGTGGGCCCTTAATTAGGCGGATTCTTCGGAATTTGTCTATTAATTAGGCAGCCTCGCCGGAGCTGGCGCCGGTCGGAAGGAATTTGGCAATCGTCAGCGCAAAGGGAACGCGCGCAAGGGAGGCACGAGAAGCGTCGCTACGATGATCGATGTACACGGGAAGCGGAGGAGGTGTGTTGGGAGAGAGGGGGGGGGAGAGGGCAGGGAGGGCGCGCAAATTTATGGGAAAAGTTGCCGGAGTCTCCGCGCGCACCTTATGAAACGACGTGGGCGTAGCCCTCGGGAGAGAAGCAACTTAAAGAGCGGGAAGTAAGGGTTAACGTCGACCGGCTGACACAGAGAGACGTACACTAGGACGTAATTACGCGGTCCTCCGCATCACTCCTTCATCACGCATCGAAGAAACGCGTCAATGGCGGCGAACACTCGCACGTTAATTGATATTTACGTTTCATCACCTCCTCCGCGCTCCGTTCTCGGCGACAAGTCCGCGCGCTGTCCGGCCGCGAATATCCCGATATTCGTGCGGCACTTGAAACACTTCGGGCGGGGTATATATCATCGGCCCGGTGACGGGCCGCGGATTAAAGCTGCGGCGATAAAGCGCCGTCGAAATATCATCGTCGGCCGCCCGCGCCGCGCCGCGCCGGGACGAATTCCGTGCGCGGCGCGGCGCGGCGCGGCCGCGCGTATAACCAGACGCGATTTTTCTCGTTATCGCGGCTGAGGTATGAAATAACGAGATTTTCGCTATCGGCTTTGAACAGAGATCGAAGCGAGAAGTGAAGCCCCTGGAAACATCATGGAGGAATGGCTTGTGATGAGCCAGCGTCGGAGGGATTTCCATAACCGAGTCGACCGGACGCGGAGTTGCCTTGTCGACCGAGCTGTCGCTGCAACCGGTGCAAGCGTATTCGATTTTCACGGGTCACATCGCCGGAAACTTATTATTCTCCGGCAGAAGGGACAGAGAGCAGGTGGGTGCGAGAGAGAGAGAGAGAGAGAGAGAGAGAGAGAGAGAGAGAGAGGAGTGATGAGGAAAGGGACGGCGGAGGTAACTGAGAGAAAGAGAGACCAAGTTCAGCCGTTGCCGTGCGCGCGGCGATCGCGAGGTGAAGGAGCGAGAGAGTTCGATACATCGATACATCGACTACGTGGCCATACGTTTTTGCAGATAAAACTGCGGCGGTATGTCGCGATAAAGGACTTTAGTCTCGTTTGCACCTGATTTTTGCTCGAGGCTGACGTCGATCAAAAAATATCGGACAACGCGCGGACGGCAGGCAGGAAAAGGATTGTATAAAAGAGAAAAAAGAACTGAGATTTAAAGCAGTTAGATGGCACACAGATTAGATTTTTTTTCTTTTTGATGTGAATTGCATAATTTATTGTAATTGTGATAATGAATGAAATTTTTCACGGTCCATGAAAGATAAGGATTAATAATTAATGAAAAGCTATGTGATAAAGACTTATAACTGTCATAACTTACAATTAGTTAAATATATAGTAAGAAACGATATCTAATCGATGAAAGGATATTTATTCTGCGGGTGCTAATAATATACTTACTCGAATCTAATTTTTTTTAATTTAAGTAGAATAAACAATTGCTTTGTTCCATGAGAAAATACAGTTTTAAGAGAAAATGTGTGTTTTCTCATTTAGAGAATAGATTTTCCTCGAGTATAGAAATATATCTTTATGTTAGTATCTTAGCAAGTAAATATTTGTATCCAATAAATTAAATAAATAGATTTGATAATAGACTTGATAAGTATCCAATAAATTAAATAAATAATTTTCACTTTTTGGGTATTTCTCTCTCAGCGTATGTGTTGTAAAGCGAGAAATGTCGCCGGAAATTAGTGACATTCAGTTGAATTAATTATATTATTGTAATTACGGGGTATTGTAATTACGGGATACATTTTTTTAGTATACGTGTGTGATAAGGTACTTTGCAACGGTTTGTCACTTTAATTGCATAAAAAAAGTGTTCATATAAAATATTTTATTCATAAAATAACGAAAATCCAAAAACGTCATCGATCGCTCACATAGTTGGCATGTCTTAAACTTTTAGTATAAAACAAAAGTTTTAAACATGTTATAAGCATTTGATAATTTCAAATATACGTTTTTTAAACATGTGTTTTTTTTAATATTGTTTAATATAAATTTTAGGCCTGAAGGTATTGGTAATAAATTTGACCTCTTCACAAAATATATGGACGTGGTCATTTTCAATCATTAATAACTTAATAGCTATTGTGATTTTTATAAAATAGTATATAACTTTTCTTGTCAGTCTCATCTGATTAATCTTCACAATTTTTCGTTTCCAAAAGATCCCGGATCCTTGTATATTATTGTATAATTATAAAAAAAAAGTAATTACATATATTATATTTATTTGCATTTTTTTATGTATATATGTATCTCATAATTTATTTAAATGAAATGACTTCAAAAAAAGTTTTCCTATTAAACCACCAATTACACTTCGAACTGCATCAAAAGTCAAATGTTGAAGCCGTACTAAAAGTCAAATATATGTTTAAAATATTTAAAACATGTTTTTCATCTTTCAAACATGTTTTTTGGTGGTTCTTTAAGACATATTTAAAACGTGGAAAACAGTGTTAAACAAAAAAACATGTTTTGTTTTTCTTACTTAATTTAAACATGTTTCTTACCAACTCTAGTCGCTCATGGTTAATCATCATTGCTGCAACGACGGAGTATCAAGCGATAATCGAGCGACAAAGGCTATGGCAATTCTCAGTTCGCGGGAAGACATTCTTCAAGATACCGGGAGGCCCGAATGGGGCACACGCATATGCTGC